ATATATATATATATATCCGTACACACAGACACACACAAACACAAATAAATTAATTAAATAAACTCACCCAAAAAGGGGGAGGAATCCAGGTAGGGTTTTTTTTATAAGTTTTTTTTTTTTGCAAAATTATTTTCTTTTATCCATCATCCATTATAAATTATATCTCCCTTCCCCACGTACGTTGTGTTCCATTGTTAATGTTCCAACCAATAAAAAGCATTGACATCTTCTTAAAGCAGGCCAGCTGGGTAAATATGATTTAGGCCTGAATTCTAAACTGAGCCATTTAGACTGATGCTGTGACAAGTTGCTTACAGTAGCAAGAATAAGTTAATTAATAATAATAATAAAAAAGAAGACAAAAGAAGTGAGATTTGTGGTGTGCCTTAAAGGGTTACCACTAGTGCTTCTGGCACGTGGAATGTATGTTTCTCTCCAGCCACCTTTGTGTTCAGATGCAATTCTTGCCAAAGGCTGGGTCAATACATCTACCCTTCCTTCAACAAAGGAAAATCAATCCTGCTAGGAAGAGTTCACAAGGAAACTGGTACAACCTCAGATATGTTAGATACGCTGTCACAAAAATCCTCTGGAGGATTTGCTGGATCTGGGTTTTGACTTTCATATTATTTTTCTCAAACCCGGAGACACCTGAAATCTCTTTTGTCCCAGAACATTCTTTCCCCTTTTTCTTTCAAGTCATACAACAATGTCAAACTTCATAGATCTTGTCTTGTAGATAGCTGAATAATGAATCTAGTCCTTTGGAAGAACTCCAGAGTTGCTTTAACATCTGACATTCTTTCTCGTTCACGTCTTCAAGGCCAGATTTTAGGAAACTCCGAACCAAGCATTTAGATTCTTCTAAAACCTAGGAGAAAGAAATTATAATCCCATTGCAGCGTTGGAATTTATTAATACTATTAGGAGGAAAAAAAATTAGTTAGGAAACCTATGAGCTCTTGGCTTCATTGGAACTGATCAGTTCAGTTCTTGGACAACTGACTTAGCACAGGGCCCAAATTTTCCACCCATTCTGATAGTCTTGGCATGTACAGCCCCCAACCAAGGGTCTCCAAGTGAATGCAGCCCCTCACCATTTAACAAACGTCTCCCCAGCTTGGTCTCCCATCTGAAACTGGGCAAGACATACAGAGCGAAAAGAAGCTGTATTATTTATTTATTTAGATATATATCCCGCCTTTTGTATAGGAGCTCAAGATAACACACATTGCACACTCTCCTCTATTTTTCCCCACAGCAACAATTCTATGGGATAGTTTGAATTGCCAGAGAATAGTTGGTCCAAAGTCATCCAGGGAGCTTCAGTGGCTTCATTTCCAGTCCAGCACTTTCACCACTACACCATCATGGGTCTCAATTTATTTACCCAATTCTGATTTCTGATAAGTTTCAATTTTTCACTTTGATGTGGACTCCTGAGCTGATTCAGAATAAACTCTCTCTCCACATCTGCAGAAGTCTGAACTGATTTGGAGGCATTTGATTTGAATTATTGGGTGCACTTGCTGGCCTGATTTGGAAACCTGATTTGGTTGGGAGATTTAGCCAAATGGTCTTTGAATCAAACTTCCTCATCAAATACTGACACTTCCTTATTAAACTGGGATCTTGTGATTGCCCCTAATGACCAGATCAGCCCTTTGATAGAAACATCCACAATCTGCATTCAAAATTCCAAATGTGCCTGGAAAGACTGTGACCGCTGGATCTACTTGTTCATTTCATCCATTCTAAAGGATGGATTCCATAAAACAATACTTTAATAAAATATAACATTTGTCAGGGGTGTCCACAGGGAAGTGGTAGTGTAAAAAAAAAAAAATTCAAGATGGTGTCTATAAGATTGAAGCATTGCTGTTCTTTAGGTATATTGTATGTACGAAACCCATAAAAAAGAGGTAGGTCTTTGTAGACCCCATCTTGATTTTTTTGACACCTCCCCCCCCACAGGCATCCTTTCCCTTGGTGTTTTTGTATTCTACAATAATACAGTAGTTCACAAGACTGAACTGAAAACCAGGAAATCTGAGTTCATACAGTATTCACTTTTGTCTATCCATCCACAACTGACCTTCTTTTTTTTTTTTTTAAATAGAAATGTAATTTTATTTTTGCTGGAAGTTTCACCCTTCTTGCCTTGTTACTGTTTTATATTCTTATTGTTGTTACTATTCTAACAGGTACCTTGTTTACATTATTTTTTTTAATTCTGGTGGATCTTAGTTTACCAACCGAAAGCCGCTTTGCATTATTATCATAGTAGAACAAAGGGATATAATTAACCTAAAAAAAAATAAGAGGGTTGGGTAAGCAGGAAGCATTCTTAGCTTCACTGGTGATTTTCTTTATTCCTTTTATGAGTTTCTTGACCTAGAGGACCCTAATGCTGCATGTTATAAAAACAGAAGATGAAATGAAGGTGTTGGAAATACGATGGGAAATGAAGAACACAGCACCTATCCAGGGTCCTCATCAGATCAATATGCTTATCGACTCATCCAAGACACGCACAATGCTTTTGTAATATGTGTCTCTTTTGTGTCCTTTTTTCCAAACATTTTGGAGGAGGAATAATGTACAATACGTGTAATTAAAAGTCCCTGGTGCCTTGCTGCTGCTCTTTCAAGCAAAAAGGGAAGCTGCTGTGTCTTTGCCAGAGGGAATAACGTTACAATCTTTCATACAAAGGTGGGGAGGAAAAAATACCTCTCTACCAACTTACTTCCATACCTCTCACGCAGTGAAAACTCAGGACTTGCATAATGTGTGAAAAATTATTGGAGGATGTAACACCGAATCCAGGAGTTCTACATCCTGCTTGGGGTTACCTTTTTGAAGCCAGGCACCCCCATCCTTAACAGATTTTGGAGCTGGGGAGACTACAGCAGGTAGGCAATGGGGAAGAATACGTCATACCTTTGGACAAGATCAGGATTTTCTGGGATGTTTCCCCATCTGGCTTTTGTAGGGGCGTTTCAAGAAGAAGTTTCCATTCATTTACTTATTAAGCAGGTAACCTACGTAAAGTCTATTTTAGGGCTAACATTATAGCTGTCTGCATTTTCGATCTCAACTTGTTTATTTATTCATGAAGCTAACTGTGTCATAGATTTTCAGCAATTATGTTTGGGAGGGGCTCCAGAAGCCATCAAAAGAGCCATCAAAAGGGCCTAGGATCACCCTCTTTCATGAAAAAAACTGGGTAACCACTGGCAATCCCTAGTTTATTTTTTATTTTTTTACATTTTTTATCTCACCTTTATTATTTTTATACGTAATTCAAGGTGGCAAGCATGCCTAATACTTATTCCTCCTCCTATTTTCCCCACAACAACAGCCCTGTGAGGTGAGTTGGGCTGAGAGAGAGGGACTGGCCCAAAGTCACCCAGCTCGCTTTCATGCCTAAGGTGGGACTAGAATTTGCAATCTCCTGCTTTCTAGCCTGGGGCCTTCACCTCTAGACCAAACTGGCTCTCCAGTTTTTTGTCCCCTAATCCAGTGTTTCTCAACCTTGACGACTTTAAGATGTGTGGACTAACTTCCAGAATTCTGGGAGTTGAAGTCCACATATCTTAAAGTTGCCAAGGTTGAGAAACACCACCCTAATCCCTTTAGGACATCAACTATATAACATTTCATCCCCCAGCTCTTGGGCTAGAGAGGGTGGGGGAGTTCTTACGGGATGTTTCTTCTGGTGGTGCTAGCATTCTTTTTTCTGGATGTTTGTTTTGTAAGAGCTCTGAATTCCGTGTTTAATTATTTCCTTTTAGTCAGGATGGAGTTGGGCAGCCTATAAATTTAATAAATAAGTAAACAAGAGACAAGAGAGGCAGTGCTTTGTCTGAAGTCCCTTCGAAGTGAGTTCCTGAAAGAGATGAGGTTAGAAACGTGTGACATAAACTCTCCAAAGTTCTCCATAAAACCTCACATTCTTCTTACCACTGCACTGCAGGACGCCATTTCTTTAACCCTCAGCATCACTTCCTGCCCGAATGTGGTGGGCCAAAAGACCTGGGAGACAAGTCCTCTGCTGCAGGCCTCTTGCGCCGTCAACTTTCTTCCACAAAACAGCATCTCATTGGCCTGCAAGGATCAAATGTATTTGAACAGCACAGCCTATTCTTCTCATCAGCGAAGAGCAAACACAAGATGACAGTGGACACACATTTGCACAATATTTAGGGGTAGATGCAAATTTAGGATAAATAGAAAGTAAGGTCTCACACCACACTGGGCAAAATGAATCAGATGAAATACTCTGTTTTATCTGTGGTCTAGTGGGGATTGTGGATGTGTAACCAAGGATCTTTATTTTCCATTCTTATTTGATTTTTAAACCTGATTTGGACTGGAGAGCTACTTAGAAACAAGAGCTTTAGACAGAAAGTTGCCTCTTGACCATTAAACAGGCTCAACCCTGCATATTTCAAATAATTATGTTTGCAAGCAACTGCTTCAACTGCTTTTCGGTCGCAAACAATTTGCAGCCGTGAATATTTGCTTTGGGCATACAAATCAGAAATCCAGAGGGGGAAGAAACCAAATGACTGGGGAAGGACTGGTACACAGAGAAGCCCATCTCTGAATTTAAGTTCATTTCTTTGGCACAATATCAATCCATTAGGTCAGAAATGAAACGTCTGGGGCAGAAGAGCACTTTGGGTGTCAAACTCTTGAACTGAAGTGGGACCACAGAAATGTGAAAGAAAGTGGTCTTACCAAAGCCACGCCCAATATCTGTGGAAACGTGTACGATGAACAGCCAGCAGGAGTGAGCCGAATGGTTGCATAGGGGGTTTGGAACCAGGCCTTTTCACTTGCCCAAACAATGTCACAGAGTGGTAAAATTGAAGCCCCCAAGCCTAGAGCAGGGCCATTGATGGCAACCACAATGGGCTTCTTAAACTGAATAAAGGCTTTCACAAAATCCCTAAAATGGAAGAGATGGATGAAAGTCACAACAAACTACAATTGGTTGCCCGTCAATTTCACAAGAACTTTCTTCACTGCACCAGGCAGGACTCCATAGAGTCAGGCTGTTCACATATTTCTCCAAAAGCCAATCAAAGATTCTCATCCCGCTTTTTTCCTCACAGCAGCAATGTAACACCTCTGAACATGACTGTGCCATCAAATCCATAGTAACTCCATCTTGCCTTGGATTGTTGTCTTAATATTATTTGGAGGTTCTGTAGCTGGGGTTGATGTCTTTCAAAATGCAATGTACTTCTTGGGGGCTTTGTAGTATGAACAGCTGATATTCATGCCACTAAAGAGATGATTCAGCTGTAAGTCTTATCCCTCCCCAAAGGTTAACTGCTTGATATTTTGAGTTTTAGGATGATACTTTCTTATCTCTTTCTCTCCCTCCCTCTTTATAACTTACTTCCTATATCAAATACCACATATTAATTGTGTTCATCCTTTGCATTTAAGACATAGAGGAACAACTTCAGGTCTGGAGCAAGCTGGGATTCCACAAGGGTTTTTATGTGGCTTTGAGTTCTCTTAGCTGAGCAGCTCTTTCATCTACTGCCCGTTTTTGCTAAGCATGAGAAAGTTCAACTTCAATGTTTCTAAAACTGTCAAAAACAGGAGAATGGGGGTTCCCCCCCCCCCCAAAAAAGTGTATTTTGGACATGACCATTATCTACTTTCTGCTACCCTTTAGTTCCCGACATAGTCTCCAATAACCTCATGCAGCTTTCAACCTGCAGATGTACTGCACGCCATGATGCAAACAAGCAAACAAATAAATAAAAACCAGACAAGAACTGGGAGGAATCTCTTAAGTGATTCTAGGTTTATAAAATGCCCAGGCTCCTGAATTATAGCTAGAGAGAACTTTTGGCACAGATCAAGCAGAACTTCCAGGAATAGATGAAGTTGCTTTATCCCTAATTAAGTCACTGGTCCATTGAGTTCGACGTTGATTGCCATCCAAGATTTCCAAGTGGGACTTTCTCTTGTCCTGGGCGATACGTATGGCCTGAATCTGGAATCTTCTGCATATAAAGCTTGTGCTTCAGCGCTGTTATTATGCCTTCCCAAATGAAAATATATTGGCATTTGATATAAACAAAATTGGTATAAATGAACTATGATTACATGGCCACAACTGGCAGCAGTCTGGGATCAGTCCAAATGGGATAGGAGCACCCATGGCTTGCATCTGAGAACTGTCTTTCATATTATGTAGATTGGCATTAAATATAATATGAGATGTATGAGAGGAAGGCAATATTTTAACTTTGAAAGTCTCTTTGCATGTAAATGAAGTCATTTCCCTAAGAAGAAAAATCTCCAAATGTTGCCTTAATAAGTCTGGGTAATATAACAGAAACGTGATGGAGTCAAACCATGGAAAAATGCTAACAAAATTCAAAACATGAGTTAAGAGAAAGATTGCTTTGGTTTTCTCCAAACTGGTGCTCTCTAGATATATGGAAGTAATAAGTCTCAGAGCCAAAAGCTATGTTGGCTTGGAATTCTAGTAATTCCTAATTTTCCTTGACTTGCTACCTTCCAAATGTATTGAACTACATTTCGAAGGCAACAGGCCAGGGAAAACTGCTTTTAAAAAAATATGTGGCATCCACGAGCTATCACTTTGAATCTGATTTCAGGTTTGGACTTCTCATTGGTGAAAGATACCATGTTTTTTTATACCTAGGTATTGGTGTGTTATGTGGACCCATTCATTTCTTTTGTAACTGTTTGTCCTGCAGAGGAAAGGTCAGTGGACATGATCATACCATGACTTCTTTTTTGTTTTGGTATTTTGCAGGAATTGGGGGAGGGTTTTGATTAAAGAAAACTATCTTAAATTTATTTTAACGGTTATGCTACAGTTTTGATAATGTAACTTCTTGCACGGTGGTCAGAGATCGGCTTTAGGGTGGAATCAGAAAGAGGAGCTAAGGCTATGGAACTTTAGGTTCTGTGATTCTCCTTTACTCAGCAAAGGCAATTTCTTTCATCTGGGTTCTCAGGGCTACCGGTCTCAATGGAACTAGTTAGAAATCTTCTTGGGACAGACTAGCTCCTGGCTGATAAATAATTCCAGAATGGGGAGCAGGAGTCATGACTCTCTCAACTTACTATTAAAATAGTAGTTAGGCAACCCTGTAGGATCCAAAGTGAGGATGGATAACCAAACTAGAGCTAGGAGAATTCAGACAATCTTCATTTAATCAATAGGGTGGCGTTTGCAGGGTTTGGAGGTCAGAGAGTTTAAACTCTGGTTCTACTTCCTCCCTACTTCTCAGAGTTTCATCTCTGTAGGTCCAGCCTACAGAGGTTTTCTAAAGAGTAATTGAAGAATTAAGGGTGTATGCCAGAAATGGATAGCCAGTCTGATTCAGAAAAAAATTAAAGAATATTTAAATGGAACACCACTTAGAAAATTTACAGACCAACAAAAAGAGGTTCTTATCTACGTGTAACAGAAGACGAAATTGAAGAAACAAACAATGAAATTGTATAGAGCTCCAAGACCTGATGGTATCTGCAATTTACTATAAAACTTTCCAAGAAATTCTGACCAGACTTTTAACCTAAGCAATGAATGAAATCCAGATACATAAAGAACTTCCTTTGGCATGGAAAGAAACTTTTATTTCTTTGATTTATAAAGAAGAAAAGGATTCAACTTATCCTGAAGCTTACAGACTTATCTCCTTATTGAATATGAACTACAAACTTTTTATGGCAATACTTGCAAAGAGACTAAATGGATAATTGATATGATACATTCTGACCAGATGGTTTTGTTCTGAAGAAAGATAAGAGAAATAATATCAGACATATCTTAAATGTTATTGACAAGACAAACCAGTAGAACAAAAAAAAAATGGCTTTGATTTTCATTGATCTGAAAAAGGCTTTGACAATTTGGAATGACCTTTCATGTTTGCAGTTCTGAAGAAAAAGGGCTATAGCTCTATTTTTTTTTTTTGACATCAATACAGAGTATTTATAAAGAACAAAAAGTCAATAGTGAATGGCCTTACCTTGCAGCAATGTACTAAACTGAAAGGAACAAGACAGTGTTGTCTCCTTTCTCCTTCTTCATTCTGATTAGCACTATAACTACTGGCAATTTGAATATATCAAGAAAATAGAATTTTAGGAGTGAAATCAACTACACAAGAACATAAGCTGTAATTATTTTCTGATGATATTGTGCTCACAATTACTCAACCCAGAGAATCTTTAGTATTGTTGATGGAATATAGAGTTTGGTCTACTGCATTAATCAAGGAAAAACTCAAATGTTGGTGTGGAATTTGACAGGTTGAAAAGCAAAGTGCCTATAGAGCAACAGGCGTTAACATTTCTGCTAAGTAGGTAAACTATTTAGGAATTAGTTTTTGACAAAAAAGTTTTCTTTTAAGAATAATTATTCACCAAGTTGGAAAAATATATCAAGAAACATTTCTAGAAGGAAAAAGTTAAATCTGTCTTGGTTAAGCAGAATCTCAGTGCCAAAATGAATATTCTACCAACACTAAACGTTCTTTTTCAAATGATTCCAGTATTTATGAAAGTAAAATATTAAATGTTTGGCATAGACACCTAATGAATTATATGTGGTCCAACAAAAAGCCAAGGATTAAAATGAAAAATGTGCAGAGCTCAAAAAATAAGATGGCATTGCAGTTCTGAATCTCAGAGTGTATTATCATGCTAGGCTGTCTAACATGGATTTCAGAATGGAGTATCTCTCCTTATGATTCTATCACTTCCATGGAAGGAGCAGGTCTTCTAGAGGGGCTGCACAGAAAAATGTGGACTGACACACATAGAAATGAGCAACCTATAAGTGCTTATGCAATATTAAGTAACCTACTAAATGTTTGGGATAAATACAGGAAAAGAATAAGTCCAGGCTCTTCCCCCTTGCTTTGTTACTGAAAGTTTATTTTCAGAAGATGACAGCTCCAAGAAATTTGCCCAGGGGCAAGATAATAATTTGTTTAGATTACAAAATCTTATTGATAATTGGATAAAGATAAAATCTCTCAAATTTCTTATTCTTATTCTTATTCTTATTCTTATTCTTATTCTTATTCTTATTCTTATTCTTATTCTTTTATTCTTATTCTTATTCTTTTATTCTTATTCTTATTCTTATTCTCTCAAATTTCTTCCGCATTCAGTTGGTTTCAAGACCTTCAAATAAGCAGTGTGGTAGCTAAAGAATTTCAGAAATGAGGAGGAATACTGAAAATCTGATAACACATACTACTGATTGTTGGCTAGGCACGTTTTATAAATTATTAGTGAAATATGAGTCAGAATCCAAACAAGTGAAAGACTGTATGATTAAATGGATGCAGAATATGAATACAGCTATACAGTATATATGCAACAGTAGGAATTTCAATGGAACAAGAATATTAAATTTGCTTTGAATGTTATCCTCAGAAAGAATTGGTATAAGAGATTTTCCTGTTGGTAAATTACTCCAGTCTCAATGGCTAACGTGAATAATACTTTTCCTGAACATGTGGCAAATGTAATGAACAGGTTTCTCCTTCTTTCATATATGCTGATATCCTTGCTGAAAAACCCAACAAGACTGGAAAATGATTCACTGTAGAATGGAGCAAATTTTGAAAGTAGCAATCTCATATTTCCAAATCATATATCCTTTCAAAATACAGGACATCCCAAAATACAGGACATCGTGCAGTTTTGAGCTTTTGAAGCTTAAAATGGTAGTAAGACTTTTGGGCCATCCTGTGTACTGAACTGGCATTTCATATCTTAATGACTTTATACAGTATACTTCTTGTTGGAAAAGATCTTTGATTCTTCCTTTGGAAGAATGGCTAAGTAAATTGGAGTACCCCTCAATGTTTAAAGAACCTTTGCTTTTAAAAAGTAAATCTGATGCAGAATTTAATTTGAATTGGAACCCTTTCCTGGATCACAATCTCACACAAGGAACGGTGCTGCATTCAAAATTTGGTATCTAGCGCTCCTATTTTAACTTGTATAATTTATAGTATTAGTAGAATGCATTATCTACTACTTATCATTTCTCTTAGAGATGTGAATAACCTTATCCAAGTGTTTTTTTTTTAGTTTAAAGCTCTATGGAGACATGCAGATTGTGACTAGAAAATGGATATGAATTATCTCATAATATTACAATTTTCTAAGGATGCATTGGAATATAATAATATTACAATATTTCAGATCTGTTGTTCATCTAACTGTACTCTGGCATCTGTGCCTGACTTTCTTTTTTTGTGTTACTTATTTCTCGTATTCTTTAAAAATATATAATAAAGAATTATAAGATATTGCAAGCAGAAAGAAAGAAAGAAAGAAAGAAAGAAAGAAAGAAAGAAAGAAAGAAAGAAAGAAAGAAAGAAAGAAAAAGAAAATGAAAGACTAGCCCAGGCCCACATTTTAAAAATAAGTTTTCAGCCTTTAGAGCAGTGTTTCTCAAGCTTGTCAGTGGATTACTTTTCATCTAGGATAGTGTGATTGTGTGTGTGAAAGAGTGGTGGGAGTGGGGGTTGGTTAGCACACTATGCAAGCCCAGCTTGTTTGATCAAGTTTTCATTCAGAGAATTGTGTAGGCCAGTGTTTCTCAACCTTGACAACTTTAAGAGGTGGGGACTTCAACTCCCAG